AAGGACTGTTTGTTGGTCTTTAGGAGTGTTTTCCAGTCCAGTTTATTAGGGCACCAAGTCCTGGCCTCAAAGTCCACTTTCGGCATTCCTTGGGGACCTCGCTGCTCCATTCCCTTCCTGTTCTGTTGCACCCCCTCAGTGTTTTGCCTTGGTGTGGCGGGATCAGATCGGGTACAATTCCCACACTGTGTCTCCAGTGTTGTCCCTGAATGGCTATGGGTCAGTGAGGGACGTCATGTGTCATAGTGGGGCTGGCCATGTGGTCTTCTCTGTGGACTGGCTGCTCTGAGCGGGATCATCCTCAAGGCCTGGTGGGCCAGGATGTGCTCCTCTCTCCTCGAATCCTCCTTCATATGCTCCTGTGTGCTTTGATCAGATATGTCCCTCTCCCAGAGCTGCAGATTCAGTACTGTCCTCTGAAATAAATTCTTCTACATCATCTTTAGCACAGGAAGATCCACGAAACTATCTGTTTCTTCTATTTCCTATTACTTGTATATTACAATGTTTTTTATTTTGTTGTTGGTGGTGAGAATATACACAATATATACAAGTTGGCAAAACATATGCCAAATTCAACCAATGCTACATTGTACAACTTAGTAAATTGACTATTTCTTAGTCAATATATATAATTTCAATGGTTGATCTGAAATATATTTAGGTAGGTGTAAAACACTGCCTCTTTTACCTTGAATATTTCCTACATAGTCATTTTATTGCATAATCTTCACAAGGAGTGAAAAGCCTGGCTAATATACACCAACAAACAAAACAAAAAAGTATCTAAGTAAACGAATCATTCAGATTGCTAACATCGAAATCCACCCTGGTATCTCCCTCCATCCCCGTTCTTCCCACAGCCCACATCTACTCCCAATATGTCCTCAAGACACCTTGACCACCCACTCAGGCCTAGTCATCATTCATGATTATTCTCACTATCAGTCCTTGTGCAACCGTATTATGACACTATTAAAACACTCATCAGTAGGTTCTTCTGGCTCTAAGTTCATTTTATATCCTGAATTTGATACCTCTCATTAGCTCTATAACCAATGAAATAGTCCAAGCCATTATCCTCTCTTACATTATTACAACTGTCCTCCTGTTTTCACTCAATGCCCCTTATAATTTATTCTCTTTGTAAACGTCAAGTTCTTTTACTCCCAGGTACTCTGCAAGCACCATTTTTTCTCCTCCCTTTTTGAGACCCCTAGATCATTCATTACTTCATTTTACTCAATCCTTAGCAAGAGATAAAGATCAACAGCACTGATAAATCTCTAGCCAGACTGATTGGAAGAAAAAAGAGAAAAGATGCAAATCACCAGTATCAGGAAAAAGTAAAGTGATGTATTTAGAGACTTCAGATTTTATAAGTAAGAAAGGAATATTATGAATACATTTATGCCAATAAAGGTTACAAATAAATGAAAACGGATACATTTCTTAAAGACACAAACTACCAAAGCTCTTCTAAGACTAAATAAGTAACATGAGTAGCCTTATATTTATTAAAGAAATTGTGAATTAGTAATTCAAAACCTTCCCATTAAGAAACCAACTGGGCCAGGTGCCTTCACTGGTATACTCTACTAAGGGAATTAATTAAAAAACAACAACCATTGATACACAGAACCTTCCAGAAAATTAAGAAGGAATGCTTTCCAAATCATTCTATGAGCCAGAATTACTCTAATACCAAAACCAATAAAAGAGTTTATAAAGGGGGAAAAACAATGATCAAAATAAAAAACAAAATATAGACCAATAACCTTCATGATTGTAAAAGTTGTAAAGAAACTTCAGAAAATAGAAGCCAGCAATTTGAAAGAAGATAATACATATGTCCAGTTGCAGTTATTTTAATTAAGGTTAGCTTTATGCTAAAAAATCACTTAATAAGAACTAAAAGAGAAAAGCCATATGATTTTTCTCAATAGATGCAGAACATTTGCCAAAATCACACATCAATTTGATATTAGAAACAAAGCAAAACAAAAAACTCTCATCAATACAGAAACATAAAGGGAGCTTGTGAAACATGCTAACGAACATCTCTGATAAATGCGCAGCTAACCGTCTTCACTTAATAGTCAAAGACTGCATGCTTTCCTAACACAGACAAGAAAAGAATGCTTCCTCTCACCATTTAT